TTAGTGATGTTGTTATCCAACCGAAGGAAAAAGTTGGACCCATCAAAGTCTCTCCACACTGTGTTTTGTCACTAACTGACAAATCATTTCCTCATCAGTCTTCTAACGTCAGAAGAGACACTACACATTCAGATTCCGTCACTTCATCTCCTGAAAAGCCTTATGCTTGGTATCTTGAGAGACATTCGCTAAAGGAAGGAGGCTTGGGGCATACTAGAAGCCAAAGCTGCGGAGCAAGCTTGGTATCTAGCTCTTCCTTTCCTTTGTTTGAGGGAGATGCCTATCAGAAAGAAAGAGCGGAGAGCAACCTGAAACCGCACAACATCAAGAGGCCACCATTGCCAAAGCATTTGAGCGGGATGAGTATGCCAGCAACTTGGTTCGAGGAAAACTTCAACCGCTCACAAAGAATGCCAGCTGCTTTAGATGGTGTTAATAAGAGAAAGTCATCACTGAATGGCTCAGAGGTGTCTCCCTCTAAAGCTCCTGTGTATGAACGTCAGACAAGTGGTGGAGCTTCCATCAACCACGAGGAAGGTGAAGAGACTGCTCCTCAAAGGGACAAGCGAATCATTCATTTATCGGTTAGTTTTATTAACTTGGTCAAGCATAGCTTGCTTTTTGCTTACCTATACTTGATACGACCTTAAAACGTTGTCTTGATCTTGAGGGCTACCTCTATCTTCAAATATGGCAGATGGAGGAAATAGAACAAAAGTTCTTGGCTCTAAGATCGTCAAAGAGTTTCAAAGACGCTGCGGTGGATCCCATACAAGACTATTTAACCATGCCATTGAACTGGCCGCTTGAGTTCAAGAGACTCGAGATGGAGATAATAGAGTTATGGCATGCTTGCAACGTATCCATGGCACACAGAAGTTACTTCTTCCTTCTATTCAGAGGAGATCAGAAAGATTGCTTGTATATGGAAGTAGAACTCCGTAGGCTCAAGTACATCAGAGAAACTTTTACCCTCAATAACAAAGCTATCGAAAACGGACGCACTCTTACATCAATGTCCAGGTATTTATTCACACAAACCTTGCCTTTCTTTGACGGTTTATATCAAGAATGTAGTCTTTATTTTTTTAACTGTTTGGGCCGTGAAACAAAACAGCCTGAGGGCGTTGAACAGGGAAAGGTACAAGCTGAGTCAGCTGATGCAGAAGAAACTAACAAAAGAAGAGAGGGAGAACTTGTTCTTGAGATGGGGCATTGGGTTGAACACAAAGCACAGGCGGCTCCAGCTGGCTCACCGGTTATGGTCTGAGAGCAAAGACATGGAGCATGTCCGAGAGAGCGCCTCTGTTGTGGGGAAGCTCATGGGGTTTGTGGACATGGATTTGGCTTCCAAGGAGATGTTTGGCCTCAACTTCTCTCTTAGACCCCGTCCCAAGAAATCTAGCCTGTGGAAACGCAGTGTTTTGTCTCTCTCCATTTTGTAATTTAAGGGTTCCAGAAATCAGATATCCAATTGATACAATGCTGAGTACTGAATTGAAAATGCTGCTTCTGTGAGAAGTACATTGACAATTGTAAAACTTAATTTGGGTCTTGAGTCTGAGAGTGAAACGATATCAAATGTAAATTTCAAAATGCCAATTTGCGAAAATTAAATCGTTTTTATGTTTCTCTTTCGCTGGTATATTATTTGTGTTTCTCTAAACCCACCAGTCATAAGTTTCTCACTGCTCATGGACCCTATGATTACATACATTTTGAGCTCCTGATCCGGAGGTTTGAAGCCAAGGAGAAAACTTTGATCTTGAAAGCAATGAAACTTAGATGTATTAGTTTTTATTTTTGTCAATTTAGGCATTTCTTCTCACTTTCTCCTTCTCTATGATTTGCTTTGTGTTTGTGTCATTCAAAGTGCCAATTCCAAGGGAAAGTACAAAAAAGAGAGAGTAATTTTTGTTTGATTGTAACTTTGGGAGAAGGCTAGAAGAAGAACAGAGTATGTGCTTCCTTTTGCCCTTTCATACAAAATTCACTCTGCTTCATCCTCAACACATTGAGGGAAACAAATTGGATAACTT